TCAAAAAGGGCTTGTAAATGCGGAAATAAGCGTTAAAAAAACTGTGTGAGTATAGGTGAAGGTTCACCAACTCATTATGAAGGTCCTCATAAAGTTTTTTGAGAAAGCAATTTTGGGTGCTCCGGGCTCCAGATTCATGGGCTAATACACATGAAAAATCGGAGAATTAGGGGGATTCTTAAAATAGGGCTCGCAAATGAAGAAATTGGGGGTTAAAAATAGTGTAAGTATACGTGAAGGTTCCCCAACTCATTACGGAGGTCCTCATAGAGATTTTTGGAAAAAAAAATTGGGTTCTCCGAGCGTCCGCTTCATGGGCTAATACACACAAAAAAATGGGGAATTTAGGCGATTCTTCCAAAATGACTTGTAAATGCGGAGTGTTCAAAAAATGGTGTGAGTATACGTGAAGGTTCGTCAACTCATTACGGAGGTCCTCATATAGATTTTTGAGAAAACAATTTATAGTGTTTTGGGCGCCAGATCTATGGGCTAACACAACGAAAAATCAGAGAATTTGGGAGATTCTTAAAAAAAGGATTGCAAATGCGAAAATGGGCGTTAATAAATTGTGTAAGTACATGTGAAGGTTTCCCAACTCATTATGGGGATCCTCATAAAGTTTTTTGAGAAAAAAATTTAGGTGCTCCAATCGCCAGATTCATGGACTAATACACACAAAAAATCAGAGAATTTGGGCAATTCTTAAAAAAATGGCTTGTAAATGCAGAAATTGACTTTAAAAATGGTGTGAGTATACGTGAAGGTTCCCCAAAATATTATGGAGATCCTCATAAAGTTTTTTGAGAAAACAAATTGGGTGCTCTGAGCGCAAAATCCATGGGCTGATACACACGAAAAATAGGAGAATTTTGGCGATTCTTAAAAAATGGCTTGTAAATGCGGAAATGAGCGTTAAAGTATAAGTATACGTCAAGGTTCCCCAACTCATTGCAAAGGTCCCCATATTGTTTTTTGAGAAATGAATTTTGGGCGCTCCAAGTGCCAGATCCATGGGCTAATTCACACGAAAAATGTGAATTTGGAGATTCTAAAAAAAAGGGTTATAAATGCAAATGGGAGTTAAAAATGATGTGATTATACGTGAAAGTTCCCCAACTCATTATGGAGGTCCTCATAAAGTTTTTTGAGGAAAATATTTTAGGTGCTCTGAGCGTCAGATCCTTGAGCTAATACACAAGAAAAATTGGAGAATTCGGGTGATTCTAAAAAAGGGATTGTAAATACAGAAATGGGCGTTAAAAATAGTGTGAATATACATGAAGGTTCCCCAACACATTACGGAGGTCCTCATAAAGTGTTTTGAGAAAAAACTTTTGGGTACACCGGGCACCAGATCCATGGGCTAACACACGAAAAATCAGAGAATTTGGTGATTCTTAAAAAAGGGCTTATAAATGCGAAAATGGGCGTTAAAAAATGGTATGAGTATACGTGAAGGTTCTTCAAACTCATTATGAAGGTCCTCATAAAGTTTTTTACAAAACAATTTGGGTGCTTCTGGTCCCAGATCCATGGGGAAACATACACGAAATCATGAAATTTGGGCGATTCTTAAAAAGGGTTTGTAAATGCGGAAATGAGCGTCAAAAAAATATTGTGATTGTACGTTAAGGTTCCCCAACTCATTACAAAAGTCCTCATAAAGTTTTTTGAGAAAACAATTTGGGTGCTTCTGGTCCCAGATCCATGGGAAAACATACATGAAAATCATGAAATTTGGGTGTTTCTTAAAATAGTCTTGTAAATGTGAAAATTGGCATTAATAAAATGTTGTAAGTATACGTGAAGGTTCCCCAACTCATTAATGAGGTCGTCCTAAAGTTTTTTTAGAAAACAAATTGGGTGCTTTAGGCGCCAAATCCATAGTAATACACACAAAAATTGAGAAATTTGGCTAATTCTTAAAAAATGTCTTGTAAATGCAGAAATGGGCGTTAAAAATGGTGTGAGTATACGTGAAGGTTCCTCAAGTCATTACGGAGGTGCTGATAGAGTTTTTTGAGGAAAAAATTTTTGGGTGCTCCCGGCGCCAGATACATGGGCTAATACACATGAAAAATGTGAAATTTGGGCGATTCTTAAAAAAAGGCTTGTAATGTGAAAATGGGCGTTGAAAAAATTGTGTGAATATACGTGAAGGTTCCCTAACTCATTACGGAGGTCCTAACAAAAAATTTTCAGAAATAAATTTTGGGTGCTCTGGACGCCAAATCTATGGGTTAATATAGACGTAAAATCAGGGAATTTGGGCGATTCTTAAAAGAGGGCTTGTAAATGTGGAAATGGGCGTTAAAAATTATGTGAGTATACGTAAAAGTTCCCCAACTCACTATAGAGGTCCTGATAAAGTTTTTTTAGAAAAATAATTTGGGTGCTTCGGCGGCAGATCCATGAGCTTAACACACAAAAAATCAACGAATTTGAGCGATTCTTAAAAAAGGGCTTGTAAATGCGGAAATGGGCGTTAAAAATGGTGTAAGTATACGTGAAGGTTCTCCAACTCATTACAGAGGTCGTCATAAAGTTTTTTGAAAGAAAAAATTTAGGGTGCTCCGGGCGCTAGATCCATGGTCTAGTACACACGAAAAATTGGGGAAATTAGACGATTCTTAAAAAGGGCTTGTAAATGCGAAAATGTGCATTAAAAAATGATGTGAGTATACGTGAAGGTTTCCCAACTCATTACAGTGGTATTCATAAAGTTTTTTGAGAAAAAAATGTTGGGTGGTTCGGACACCAAATCTATGGGCAAACACATGAAAAATCAGGGAATTTGGGCATTTCTTAAAAAGGGTTTGTAAATGCGGAAATTGGCATTAATAAAATGATGTAAGTATATGTGAAGGTTCCCCAACTCATTAAGGAGGTCCTCCTAAAGTTTTTTGAGAAAAAAAATTGGATACTCTAGGAGCCAGATCCATGGGCTAATAAACACAAAAAATTAGAGAATTTGGCTAATTCTTAAAAAATGTCTTGTAAATACATAAATGGGCGTTAAAAGTAGTGTGAGCATATGTGAAGGTACCACAACTCATTACAGAAGTCCTCATAAAGTTGTTTGAAAATTGAACCAAACAACGAGTTGTCGTTCAATCCCAAAACCTCAAGTGATTTCCTACTGCTTGATAACCTGAGAAACAACTCAGGAAGCCATTGGTATGTTTGAGTGTTAGACATGTCCAGATTAAGATGTTCAAGATACATCAAGCTCCCAAAAGAACTTAGAACCCCACCTTTAACTTCAAAGTTATTAGCAAGATTAAGATGTTCAAGATACATCAAGCACCCAAAGCGATCATCAATTTGACGGATGAGTTGATTATGAGAGAGGTTTATGCTAGTTAGGCTTGTGCTAAAATTGAATAACCAGCTATATTCAGATGAAGTATAAAAGTCATTACAACATAAATGAAGAACAGAGAGAGAGATCAAAGATGAATTGGCTAGATCAGCTGGAGACGGAACTAATTTAGAGAGTCCACAAACACTCAAGTCCAATTCTTTCAATGAAGGGACCTTAGTTATCTCTTGAAACCAATTGCTTTCTTGGAGGTCGTTACCACCAAGACGCAAGAACTCTAGAGAGGAGAGATGAGAAAGCTACACAAGGTCCTTTACTATAAGTTTATTGTTTTCGAGATCAAGAATCCTCAAAGAAGTTAGATTCTGGAACTATGCTGGAATTTCACCAGAAAAATCAGAAAATGAAAGGTTCAGGTACTATAGTCTCTTAAGGGAGCCTATGAATCTTGGTATCTCACTATTTTCAAATCCATTTACACTGAGGTCCAAGAAATTCAAATACTCCAACTCAAGTAGACAAGGACTAAGTTTACCTATCAATATTGGAGTAAAACAAGCATGGCCTAGACAAGTAACCTCACTGTGGAGATCAAGAACAATAACATGATATGTTCTTTTGTCACATTTAATACCCTTCCATTTGCAGCATTCTTTTCTATCACCCCAGGTAGATAAACAACCAAAATCGTCGTTAAGGCCTCTTTTAAACTCAAGAAGAGCATCTCTCTCCTTTTCTATACAAAGGGTCTTGTTAACTTCTCTTGAAGTTAATCCAAAAGCCATCTCTAGGAGCAGTAAAGACCAAGTAATAAGAAAGTCTCTTGGATTATTTTTTTTGCCCATGGTTCTATACAAAGGGTCTTGTTAAATTCTCTGCATTTCTGAAACTTTTAACCTATTCAACTATAACATGTTTCCTACAAGCATCTACTTGTTTTTATATAAATAGGAAACAGAAATCCATGATTTTAAATTCTTCTCAAACCCAACCAAAATATTAGACAAAGACTCAACAACAACAACATACCTACTATACTCCGACAAGTGGGGTCTGGGGAGGGTAGTGTGTACGCAACCATATCCGTACTATTGTCAAAGTAGAAAGGCTATTTATGAATATTAGACAAAGACTCAACAACAACAACATACCTATTATATTACGAGAAGTGGGGTCTAGGTAGGGTGGTCTGTATACAGGTACTTTTGTGAAGGTAGAGAGGTTGTTTTTGAGTTAACAAAGACTCGTTAAGAATAAATCATACAATTTTTTTTTCTAATTATACAACCGACTTAAGTTTGATATCATAGTCAAGTGACCCTACTTTGAGAAGAAAATAAAAGAAAGATTATACCATATGAACATCTAATCTTCTTCTACTTTGACTTGTAGAATAAGCAACTGCCTAGAGTAAAAAAAATGGAGTATATTTGACTTTTACATACCAAAATAAATAGTAAGAAAAGAAAAAATGGAGAAGGGTCAACATTAGTGTAGGCTATCCAGATATAAATATCAATAACGTGAATGTGAATTGAGAAATTTCCAAAGGCTAGGACTGAAGCTTTTCATCTTTTTTTTTTTTATAACAATGATGTTCGGATCAACTTGCACACACCTCAAATATCGAGCTTTTTCTTAAAAAAAAACAAAGTACACACAAACTTTACATTTATCAGGCCCTCATCAGCTTTTTCTTGAGCCTTGCAAACCAGACTCCTGACATCATATCGAGCCAACTCATCATGCCCATTAAGAATGTGAAGTAAGCATTTCTCCAAGAACGGTTGACAATTAAACAGCCCAAGATTCCCCAAAATGTGACAAAGAAACCTATCACCATTGATATATAAAACTCCAGATATGGGAACTCTTCATCGTCGTCATGTTCTTGTGGATTGGTGTTGCTGCCATGATCGATATGAGGTTTAGGAGGAGAATATCTGGGACACTCTTTAAGAGGATGACCATAGAGTTGAGCATTATAACTGTAGGATGATCTATCAGAGCATTGCAGTTGAGTGCTTGATGGAATTCTCCCGAATAAGTGATTGTTCGACAAGTCCAACACACTAAGAAAAGTCAAATTAGCAAGACCTTGAGGGATCACACCAGAAAGATTGTTTTTTGATAAGTCAAGAGACTCCAACATCTTCATTTGATCAATTCCTTCAATGACACTTCCATTCAGATCATTTCTTGAAAGGTTCAGAGACTGCAATCTTCTCATCTCAGCTATCTCTTTAGGTATACCGCCAACCAATTCATTACATGAAATATCAATAGTCATCAGATCTAATAAAGGATTCTTGTACTCAAACACCTATTTTTTCATTGAATCAATAAGTCACCAATGTACAAGTAGTAAGTAAGAGGATTACCATGGAGACCTAGGATATTAAATCCCATTGGCTCACCAGAACTATCATCCTGATACAATAAGGTAAAATTGTTGAAGCAATGTGGAATTTCCCCTGATAATCCATTTGCTGAAAGGTCCAGTATCTGAAGAGATTGAAACTGACAGATAATTGACGGTATGCTGCCATAGAATCTGTTGAACCACATGCTTAGAATTCGCAAATTGAGTAGATCAGACCCTATCCATGCTGGGATTCTTCCTGTCAAATTATTTCCTCCAAGGTCCAAGATTTGCAACCGCTGACATTGTGAAAAAGAAGGCAACATTCCACTAAAACTGTTCTGGCGTATGTATACAAACTCCAAACTTGTCAAGGAGCCTAATGAAGGTGGAACTTTTCCAGAAAAATGGTTATAGGCTAGATTAAGAACATCTAGATTAGACATATTCATCCAACAATCTGGAAGTTCTCCTGAGAATCGATTGCATGACAAGTCAAGAGAAGTTGGGGAAGTTCCACTTTGACAAATTGAAGAGATGGATCCGAGAAACTGATTTCTATGCAGATAAAATATTTGGACATTGGTAGGGACTAGAGCCAAATTCCCTGAAAAGTTGTTAGAGCTTAAATCTATAACCTTGTAACCATATGTATTCTCTATTAAGTCAGATACTTTTCCACTGATTTGGTTGTTTGAGAGATTCAAAATCTTTAGATTGGGGGGAAAATTAAAGAACCAACTTGGAAGCGTGTCTGAAATACTTGCAAGTGAGATATCTAGAACAGTGTAGTTATTTTGATTTTGAAGCCATTTTGGGAAAGAAGGTCCCAAATTGCAAGATGGAAGGCTTATAACTTGTAGCTCAAAAGGTGGAAGCCAATCAAAACTTGTCTTCAGAGACAATGAGTTGAATGACAAGTCCAAATACACTAAACTGGAGAGATTTGAAAGATGGGACTCAGTGGAAGACTCTAAACATTTTACTATAATCAAATGAACTTACTCAAATAACTTTAGTGAAATAACTCAGAATGTTTAATGGTCAACATCCAACTTGGACAAAATGGAAACTCAAGTCTTAACATATGAAATGATAATGTAAAGACGTCTGACTACTAAATGTCTACGAAGCCTCTAAAACAAAGAGGGATGTCGGGACAGGACCCCCGATCATCCTAACATCTGAAAGACAAGAAAGTAAATAAAGGAGTCCTCCGAAATGCAATGAGGCTCACCAACAGACTCTGAATGCTCAAGCTGGATCAACGAGGCGCTGGAGGTTGATCCTGGTTACCTGTGTCTGCATCATAAAAAGATACAGGCCAACTGGCATCAGTACATTAAATGTACGAGAATGCGAGTTGGAATGCTAAAACAAGATATATGCTTGAAAGGAATCTGAAGAAAACACTTACATTGGCTCTTCTCAACTCATGAATAAACTTAACTCAGAATAAAGCAATGAAACACATGCATTATATGAAAAGCTTTATAAAACAGTAAAAGCAACTTAGTTCATTAAAGAAAATGCAATAACAAACTCAATTTTACTCATATACAAAGTAATATAGTTTAGGTGGGAGTTTCTCTAACCGACAACCACCACTATGAGCTTAAGTGATGATACAACGTCTTTTGACACGCTGTCAGAATAGTCCTATACTGTGTCATCATATAGAACCTACTTAACTTATTGGATCCACTAACTTAACTTATGTGATCGTCTAAAAAGTATGACCCATTAATACCCATGATGGCTACATGGTTTATGGAGACTTGAGTTAATATGAACTCACATCCTCATATCGGTGCTTAATACTACTCCCAAAAATATACTTAGCTCATATGTTTTAAAAACAAACTTCTTTCTTTGGTTTGAGATAATTACTCAAAACTTAGCTTAAAAACTCTCTTGGAATCGATGTTCCCTTTTCTTACTCAACTGTGAAAACATTTATAACTCTTTGATAATACTTAGTTCCCTTATAACTTTTTGAGAAATGAACTCAACTCTTTACTCTTTGCTTAACTTGAAACATAAGTCTTAAAACAAGGTTAAAACGTTTGTTAAAAACTTTTGAAAACTTTAAAAACTTTGCTTTGACTTGCTTCTTAACTTCTAGACTTGACTATTAACTTCTCTTGAGTTTGATCCTAACTTTCCTTGAATTGGATTATAGATTCAAGTTTCATGATCTCATGTATTGGATGATTTCATGATGTTTAGATGTACCTTAGAGTGTTGGAATCAACTGGAAAACATAGGTACATTGCTAAGGAACAAGTACGAAAAGGTGGAGAGCGAATGGGGAGAATTGGCGTCCTTGGCGCTCTGAGAGGCACGGGGAGCCAGCCCTCAACATTCAGGGACTGGTCTGGGGCGCGCTGGCTGGCACGACACCCTACTCTTATACCTAGGTGTTTGACGACCTTTCTTCTCCGTTTTTCATCTCTAAACCCTCTAAACTCTAATGGTTCTTTCCCCAAACACTTAGAATCATTTATACCCTCAATATATGATAGATTCAAACCAAAATTAAACCCGAATACGTGAATCAAATCGCAAGAACTCCAACAACACAACCTACAAGAAATTCAACAAAACTTTCAACAATGTTCACCAAGAACTTCAATTTCCAAACTTTCAAAGACTTAAATTCGCTGAATTGAATCATGTTTGGCGCGTGGGCGAACTAACCCAACGCTATGTGATCTCACATACCTTGTAGGGATCACCCCCGACGAAATCCACAAGCTATCATTGACGAAGTCGACGAATCTTGCTTCTTCTTCTCCTTTCTCCTCTTTTCTCCTTTCTCCAAGCCCTAGCGTAAATTTCCAATTTCTTAAACTGACTAAAATCGGATTTGACCCATATTAAACTCCTAAAACGGATAATAATAGGGCAAGGAAAAGACTAAATTACCCTTCCAAAATCCGGATTAGACTTTCCTTATTCCAACAGCCCAACTTTCAAAGGGCAGAACTTACTCATACGAACTCGAAATCGTGCAAACTCGACGACGTTGGAAAGATCATTCCAAGAGCTTCCCAACCATATCTGTAAGTACACATAACCCATACTGAGCTAGGATTTATGGCCATTTGAAGTTGACCAAAAACTCATTTTTCCTAACTTAAACAAATTTCCAAATTTGTCACTATTTCCAAAAATGATTATTTCAAGTTCTTAGCTACTTCCTAGATATTTCAAATTGCGAGATGTTACAATATCTCCCTCTTGGGAACATTCGTCCTCAAATGAGATTATTCTTACTAGGCTCAGAGTGTAACATCAAGATCAAACACCCAACAAGCAAATGCAAACAAACAATATGCTCACTCATAATTTAAAGAGTACTAAGAAGAGAATTAGTACCTTGGTCTGCATTTTCTCCGGACTCAAAGAGATGTGGATATTTTTTCTTCATATCCTCTTCAGCTTCCCAAGTAGCTTCCTCAACAAATTGGTTTCTCCAAAGGACTTTGACTGATGATACTTCCTTAGTCCTCAACTTGCGAACTTGGCGATCTAGGATCTGAATCGGAATCTCCTCATACGATAAGTTGTCCTTGATCTCAATATTTCAATTGGTATGATCAATGAAGGATCGCCCATGCATTTCTTCAACATGGAGATGTGAAACACCGAATGAACCGTTGCTAGCTCTTGTGGTAGCTCCAACTCATAAGCTACATTGCCCATCCTTTTGAATATTCGATAAGGCCCAATATACCGGGGACTAAGTTTCCCCTTCTTACCAAACGCCAAACCACCGAGCCTTTGGTGCTCTACTTTAACTTGTTGGCAGTTTGGGCACTTAGCAACAAATTCTGCAATGCCCTTCTTCATACTATTCCACCAATACACTTCTTTCAAACCCGGATGAATAAAATATCTGGAGCTATGAGTTTCCTCCATGATCTTTTCTTGGAGTCCATCCACCATTGCTACACACAACCTACCTTGATATCTCAATACACCATGTCCCCCTTGTTCAAAAACTAATACTTTTTGCTTACGAACATTTACCTTCAATTCAAGCAAAATAGGGTCTTGGTCTTGCTTGCCTTTTACGTCTGACACTAATGATGACTCAACCCCATTCGTCACCACTATTCCTCCTTCTGTGGAATCCTTAAGTCTGACTCTCAGGCATGCCAGTCTGTGCACATCTTTTGCTAACTCTCTATTTCCTTCTTTAACATAGGCGGTGCTACCCATAAACAACCTGCTTAAGGAATCAACAACAACATTAGCCTTACCTGGGTGGTAAAGAATACCATGTCGTAGTCCTTGAGTAACTCTAACCACCTTCTCTGTCTGAGATTAAGCTTTTTCTGAGTGAACACATATTGAAGGCTCTTGTGATCGGTGAACATATCCACATGAACACCATACAAATAATGGCGCCATATCTTCAAAGCGAAAACTACAACAGCCAACTCTAGATCATGGGTTGGATAATTCTTCTCTGAAATTTCAACTGTCTGGAGGCAAAGCTATAACTTTGTCATTCTACATTAATACACAATCCAAACTAACTCTAGATGCATCACAATACACCACAAACCTTGAGTACCTTCTGGTAAGGTCAAAACTGGGGCAGTAGTCAACCTCTTTTTCAATTCCTGAAAGTTTTTCTCATAAGCTTCAGACCATTGAAATTTCACTGTCTTCTGAGTCAACTTGGTCAAAGGAGACGAAATAGACGAGAATCCCTCTACAAACCTTCTATAATAGCCAGCTAAACCCAAGAAACTCCTAATATCAGTTGGAGATATGGGTCTAGGCCAATTCTGCATTGCCTCAATTTTCTGAGTATCAACTTTAATTCCCTCTCCAAACACAATATGGCCTAAGAATGCCACAGACTCAAGCCAAAACTCACACTTAGAGAACTTGGCATACAACTCCTTAATTTTCAAAGTCTGAAGAACTATTCTGAGATGGCTAGCATGATCCTCTTCATTCCTTGAATAGATTAGTATGTCATCAATGAAGACGATAACAAACATATCTAAATAAGGATTGAAGACTCTATTCATAAGGTCCATGAACGCTGCCAGTACATTAGTTAAACCGAACAACATGACCAAAAACTCATAATGACCATAACGGGTCATGAATGTTGTCTTTGGAATGTCACATTCCCTTACTTTCAACTGATGGTAACATGATCTGAGGTCAATTTTTGAGAAACCGGAAGCACCCTGAAGCTAATCGAAAAGATCATCAATCCTCGGAAGAGGATACTTATTCTTGATGGTAACCTTGTTCAACTGGCAGTAATCTATACACATCCTAAGGGAACCATCTTTCCTTCTCACAAACAAGACCGGAGCGCCCCAAGGTGAGACACTTGGTCGAATAAAACCCTTATCTAGGAGATCTTTTAACTGCTCTTTCAACTCTGCTGGTGCCATTCTATGGTGCATCAGAAAAAGATCATAACAAACAAAAGCATCTGAAAACTAAAAGACAAACACTACCTCTCTTTGAGTCTCAGATATAAATGGTCCAGTCAAATCTTGCAAGACCTTCAGCATATCATTGAATGACACATTTCCATTCCCGTCAGTATCATAAACTCTATATATAACTGGAAAAATAAGAAAGAATGGAAGAATATGAGCAACAATTAAACAAAAGAAAGTAAAGTTGAGTGCAAAAGAAGATTGGATTTACGCATTTTAAAGAGACGATCAAAGGTATAAAATGAAAAATTCCCTTACATTCAACCTATTGTTGTAAGATGGCATGAGCACTTAAAGCTGATAGGAATGCCACAAATTCTTTGAAAGTTAACCCGTCTATCATCCGTAATAGCCTTTGCATTAAGAAAAAGGATGATTAAGAACAAAGTTTTATTGTGGCAGAATTTGCAAAAATGCATTTGTGACATGTCAATGTTGGTCATTGACCAAAACCTCAAATAAACGATATACTAAAAGAGCCACACAATCAAAATGTTATTTACAATTGCACCAAACCAGCAGCTAAGAGGATAGAAGAGAGAAAGTGAGTCGGGAACTTCGAACTTTATTTCTCAATGTTCTAAAAAAATACAATTCTTATCAATGCACAATGAGAACAGAAAAGGAGGAGAAATCAGGATCTATTAGCCTGCTAGCATAACCTCTCTGTTGATGAATCAGTGTACCTTTTTAATCTCTATTTCATTTCCCGTTCAAAGACCTTTCTGTTCCCAACATACCTTTCTCTCTCCTGCATGAAACCTGTGGTTTTCTTCGAGTTAATTCTTTACCTTTACATCTCCAGTTTTCCTGGCCGAACATAAACTAGGTCTCATGTTGTTGTCGTTTACAGATTGGATCATCTTTCAATTCTACTTACTTCAAAATTATAATAGATAGTCTCACAAACTTGTATTACCGAACCTTTCATATCTGAAAGATTGGATTTGTTCAGTTTACCAGAGTGGTATGCTTCTTTCTGACACAAAAAATCCCACAAGCACCAAATAGCACAATAATACCATAGAAACTATTCCCTCATTATTATGTGAGGACAACCAGTCGCAGAACCACATTTGTCTAAAGGGAGTCAATTGACACCACTCTTTGAAAAATTACATTGTGTAGGTATGTCAATGTTTTCTTTATGTATGTATATTTTATGTTGAATCCTCTTGGCTTCTTCGTGTGTATACTTGCTTATATTTTGGATTATATTGCTCGGACTCTTCAAATATACCGATGAGTGTATGCATAATGCTCCAAAAGTAGTGAAATCTTTGGAGGATCCAACACGGTACGGCAATATTTTTGGAGAGTCCAAGCAACAAAGATTTTGGATTCCATTTAGTGAAAATCTTGGCTCCGACATTGGGGACAACCATTTCAAAGTAAATGCAAAAGAACTAGACCATGATTTCTACAACATTCTAGTGCATTTGCATGTTTCAATTCACAAAACTATACAAACTAAATCCTGAAACAGTATTTACATAAGCATATAAGGAAAATTAAGTTTATTTTTTAATATGCTCACTCAACTAATAGTTATTATTTCAAAAAATCACCTTACTTTTGGTTTCCAATTTTCTTCAACAAAGAAAGTGACATTATTAGTTAATCAACCATCTAAGAAATCAACTCAACAAAAAATTTGATCTCGGGTTGCACGCACAACTATGAGCAAATTACACAAAAGCACATATTTTTATCATATAATAATTATCACACACAATCAAACCTGAGAGAGAGGATTGACAGCAAATTCAGGCACTGAAAGAAACTCTTCTCCACAGACAAATCCACAACCATTTATATCCAGTTGACAAAACCTCTGGTACAATGATAGAATCTCCTGCTGTGAAACTAAAACCCCAAAACAAAAAAAGTCACAAACTTTAGTAAAAAAAAATACACTTTTTAACATTGATATAAAGAAAACCCACATAACCCCAAAATAAAAAGTTGCAAACTTTAGTTAAAATACACCTTTGAGACATTGATATAAGACACACACATAACCCAAAAACAAAAAAGTTACAAACTTTAGTAAAAAAATACCCTCTTTTAAACATTAAAATAAAAACCCCACAAAAAGTTACAATCTTTAGTGAAAAATATCCTTTTAAAAAGAGAAATGTGCATACATGTGTGATTGCAGTGTTCTTGAACTTCTTCAATGTGATATTGAGTCAGCAAGGAAGAAGCATTGCCCATTGTTAATGAAGAAAAGTGAAATCTATGATAAACAAGAAACTAATGAAAAGGGGGGGGGGGGGGGGGTTTGAATTTTGGGAATTTGGTAAGCTGAAAAATGTAACAATTGAATGAAACTATGTGAATAAGCACTTTGCATTGGTTTCTACAACTTTTTTCCAACTAATTCTGTCACATGCATTCATTGTTAAGAAAGGGGTATTTATTAGGGTGTCCGGTTTATGTATTATCGGTTCAATTTTTTATTTTTAAATACGCTAAATCAATAACAAATTATTTATCGATTTTTTATTATTAACGGTTTGATTTTTGGTTTATCCAATAAGAAAATATTCATAAAATAAATATATGATTTCTCACTTCTCTAACAATTTGGTGCGATATAGTGAGACAAGCAAATCAGTTGTAAATGCTTTGACATAGACATATAGTGAAATATAATGAGAAATTGCATTAAGAGTAGATGTAGTTCGAAGGCTACAATTACTGTTACAACTAAAACATAATATGGAATATCTTATGTGAAGTAGAAGTATTGTGACATATGAAGTGTGTAGACCGTAGATAGTGTTTAGTTATGTTAAATTATTAATATTTAATATTTATAAAGGGTATAGTAGTAAATTACTATCGTTTACGGGATTTTGCTAGATTCTACATAAGTTTTGCAAAAAAAATGGTCAAACAACATTCCAACTTCAAAAAACTTCTATAGTTGAAACTAGACAAAGATACAAGTAAGGCAGATTTTAAAGAAAAGATTAATTAAAAAAAAGTGATAATAGCAAAAATATTTATGATCGAACAATTATAATTCTAACAAAGTTAAGATAATAAAATTTAAGGATAGCAATAACACTAATCATTATGATTATGCATAGCTATGATAAACAGATACTTTGTAGTTTGCACATCAAAAAGATGTCTACAATTCTCAGTACGTAGATTTTATCCCTATCTCGTGGAGGTAAAGAGGTTGTCTCTGAAAGGCCCTCGACTCAAATGCAACAACTTTATACAAAACGTAAAAGCAGCATAGCAGCTAGTACTTATTATGTTTCTTCTTCGTTTTCATTTCTTTTTGTTTCTCCCTCTTACTCCCATTGCATTCAAAGCGTCTATAACATCCTTCATCGTTGGCCTTTTATCTGAATCAAAATACGTGCAGAGGATCACCAGAAATGTTAAATCAAATGCAGTTGGATGATCAACTTCTTTGAAGCATTCGTGAACCAAATATTTTTTACCACGTTTAGTCGCATTTGCAATTAATGTTTTCACATAAACAAAACCATTAAGAAAACTAAACTTCCTTTTGGCCATCAGCTCCAGCAGTAGAATACTAAAAAAAATAAACATCAGATTTCATGGTCCTTTCACCTGTGTATAAAAATAGATAAGAAACAGAACTATATAGGAGCAAAAAAAAGCAAATAAATACGAGGATCATGGCAGAGCTAGCTTCTGAGCTGAGGACTTAGTGCACACTAAGAGCATTATAAGTCATTGGCTCCTTTGGAGTTTACAATCGTATAATTGCTAACACATAAGAGCTATCTCTATTTTCCACAATTCACTAAGAATATCGACCTTAGCAAGGGAAAAATCGACTTCTCAAATTGTGCTACATGTGTGGTAAAGAAGTTGAGGCAGTCAGTCATTTATTCGTAAACTGTAGGATCACAGACAAGAAAAAAAGGGACAGGAATACCAAATTTTTTCGGTGAGTAGCAAACTCTCAAAGAAGAAGTGAACACGCTGATGGAGTGTATGCAAATCCTAACAGATGATAGGATGAGATCGAGTTGTTAACAGATGAAAGAGCAAATTAAGGTTGTTTTTGTAGTATTCCATTCGATTTTCTACAGTTACATTAAGTAGAAGTAGACGATATCACTTAGGTTGGCCCTTTCTACCTTCTTGAAGTAGGGGTAAGGTCTGCGTAAACTCTACCTTACCTAGACCCCACTTGTGGGATTATAATACTAAGTATGTTGTTATTGTTGTAATTTCTCAACTAAATGTAGTGTTCTATTCTTATATTTCTGGATGGATACATGTATACGGTCGATGAAATCTAATGTTTATATATTTGACATTCTACTGCTAAAGCTGATAGCCAAAACTGATTTACTTTGTTTTAAGAAATTCAAAATATTTTAATTAATAACATTTAAAACTTATACTATTAGAATTATTATTTTTGGTAACTAAACACATTTTATTATCAAAGTGGCAATGTACAACTCAGAAAAGGAAATAACAACCAGCCTTATTCCAACTCCACAGACAGACCTAGTAAATCACTATGCATAATCTCCCTATCTCCTAACCACAATTTGCTGAACTGGATAATAATTCAGCTAATTCAAACACCTAGCTAGTTTCCCATGCATGCTTGCTTGAACATAAACCTCTTGAATAATCTTTCTCACAATAATATCCTCGCAGCGACATGTATTTTGAAAACTCTATGATTTTCTTCCATCCACAACTCATAAACAGTGGCAGCATTGCCTTTGCCATTACACATAATTTCATATCACTGTATTTCTCCAGCACAGTTCATAGCTTGTCTATTAATTGCTTGTCAATGCTCTTCTCCACACGTAGGAAGCTACAAATCACTCAAAAAATAAGTGTTCTATATTTTCCGATTCAATATCATAGAGAGGACATAAAAGACATACTTGCATTCCTCATTTTAGCATCCTATTAGTATATAGCCTACCATGAATAGTCATGTATAAGATGAACAACCACTTTGATAAGTCTAGATTGTTGCACATTAATCTCCTCCAAGGCACAATAAGCTGGACACCTATCAATTTTTGGTACATCAATTTGATTGAAAACGTGTAAATCTATAACAATTCAGTTTCAATCATACCTACCTCCTCAATGTATTTTTTGCGCCTTCAATATCCTATCCAATATGCTTGATAAAAATATTTACATACATTATTTTTTTAATACTATATTTTATCACAAATAATTAATTTTTCTATATAAAAAAGGGAAAAAGGACAAATATACCCCTGAAATATCGTAAATGGTATGCAGGTACTCTCCTTCATACTTTTGGGACATTGGTGCCCCTGCCATCCAAAAACTAGAACATATGTACCCTTTATACTAACGGACATACACGTGTCATAATCTTATCCATCGACCCGACATTTATTAAATATCGGATCGACGGATAAGATTGTGCTATGTATCCCTATTTAGTCTTCCGTTAGAGTGAAAGGCATATATGCTCTAGCTTTTTTACTACAAGGGCACCAATATAACAAAAATATGACGGAAGGTATCTGCATACCATTTACGATAATTCGGTTATATTTGTCCTTTTTCCCTATAAAAAATATAATAATTTGGGTCCTCTTTTTTGGAGGCCTAAAGCATATACCTTATTTTGCATAACATAGAGCCGCCCTCCCCAACAGAACGCGCCGCTGTAAAGCAGCCATTAACGGCGAACAGAGGTTTTGTCCCCGGTGAACCAATGAAGGCTTCAAGCTCCGACACGAACCAACCAGCAAGCTCGAAGCTCGCGCAACCGATAACAACCAAATTTCACCAGTGAACCAGCGACACCAACTCCGGCAAAACAGGTAATCTTCTATATATATATATATCTTTGTTTATTCTCTGCATTTCATATCTGGCTGGAGGAGTTTAAACTCCGGCCATCATTATTGTTATTTTATGTTTTTTTAGTTACTGATATAATTTTCCGATAAAGTTAAACTTCTCTGACCAGCTATGTTGAGTTTTTGCCTCTAACATTATTTTATTTCGGGTGTTCAAACTGCCATAAGCTTTTCCTGTTACTTGTTGCTTTTTATGGGATTTGGGTGTTTTTTTTGTTGTTGTTAGAGGTTAATTTGGGCGTTTTTGGTTGGATTTTCCTCAAGTTTTCAGCTGAAAAAAGTGAGCTTGACAATGGAAGAAGATAAGGGGTTGAAGAAAGAGAAGAAAAACATCCCTGTATTGCCATGGATGAGAAACCCAGTTGATATTACTACCTTTGATCAATGCTCTGTAGATCTTTTGCCTTTTATTGATCCCAGGTACTCTTTCAGCATTACTCCCTTCAACCCCAAAAATCAACATGATGTTCCGAGTATCGTAGGTTCTCCATTTCAATTTGTTTATGTGGTTTTGACTTGACACGAACTTTAAGAAACTAAAAAAAAAAAGACAAATTTTGTGGTCAATACTTTGAATGTACCAAATGCTCATTAATCTCGTGGTCTTAAACATGACTTGTAGAAAGTTAGAATTAAAGAGTTGACAAATAATTAAAATATGGTATGCTACAAGTGAATATTTGCTCCAAGAAATAATCCGAATTTTAGGATGACAAACCCTTTTAATACAGTTCATGAAGGCTATTGAAGTGCTAATTCCTGGAAATTTGGAGGTGTTAACAACAAAGAAATTGTTGGAGTTATCTTATCAATTCTATCTAGTTCCAATAGGCTTGATGTTGGAAATATACATTCTTTTTTAAATGGATTAAAAAAGGAGATTAAGAAGTTGAAATGGAGTACATCTTTAGAAACTGCATAAAGGTTCTATCTTTTAAAAATATTAGTAACTCGTTCAAACAGTTATATGAATGTTGGCAAAAGTGATCAGAAGATTTAAGATAATTTGGAGGGATCATTTGTGAAGAACTCCATTCTATCTCTCCCTCGTTACGAACAAAAAAGTGGAATGAAATCCCAGTTATACACTCCCTTCGTTCTACGAACTCTTGTTGATTTTGAACGAATACCTTTATGCATCATGTGGAACATATGGCAAGACATCAATAGGAGATTTATTGTTGATAAAAAGCGTCACATTTCTATTATTATTAAGAATAGATGGTTAGGAAGCTTATACTTTTGGTGTAGGAGTAGTTTGATTTAAATATCCCAGAATTTAGAGATGTTCAAGTTTCTACAAGTTTCTGTAGCTCCTGAAGCTTTTTTGGACTTGGTTAGCTCCTTAATTTTAGATTAGCCTTTTGTAATAGAGCTAACAATGTCTTTTACTTTTCTATGCTCTGTAAATTTTGCATTTTCTTGATAGATGATGTTTTGAGTTTCTGGGAATGTAGTTTTTGTGTGGTTTTCTTGTAATTTTTCAAACCCTGCCTCGGAAGCTTGGTATTTAAGTGGAGAACTATAGAAAAGTGCTACTGCCCTCGTGGTTTCTTGGTTATCATCCTTCTGTCTTACAATCTATATGACATTCTTTTTGTTTTGGGATGTGGCAAAATCTTTTGGTTCCGTTTTATTAATAATGTTACTTTCTATAGCCTTTTACCAGGTTCAAGTATTCAAATTATTTAACTAATCAAATACTAAATTCTGATGGTATATTGTATGTTCTATTTATCAAACTAACTTTTCAACTTAAAGTACTACTTGTATCCTATACAACATAAACTAACAAGTTAAACTCCATGCACCAAAATGGTGTCCCATAATATGGGAAGGATGGAATACAAACGGGTTGAGAAAATTGTGTTGAAAGTATTTTTATTAATGGCATCATTTAGAATACGATCACTGAGATCTAATACTATCTTACAGCTGAAGAACTATATGACCTGGTGTGGGACACATTTTCCGATTGTTTTGTTTCCGTCTTGTTATTATATTTTTACAGACAGATATGAATGTTGCTCATCCATATTCTTCAATCGTTTGTATTGTCTGCTGGTTCCCAATCGATAGCATGGCCAGTTGGCAAACCCCATCTCAAAAGAAAAAAGTTCTCCATTCCTCCAGGATAAGGAATGAGCAAAATGGAAATTATTGTTAATGATCACCTCTCAGTTTCGACAATTAATATTTCATTTCTTATCCGAAATTTCCTCAGTTTATTACTTTGCTTTACTGTTTATAACAAAATTCCTATGATTGCAGTTGAAACATTGTTACACTTATACCTTATGCTTTCTTGACACTTCATACTGGATCTTGTACACTTCCACTCTAACTTACTCTTACCCATACATGTTTCTTCACTAGGTTAGTGGTGGCTTTGAAGAATATGAGCATCACTTCACTCTTTCCCGTGCAACTTGCTGTCTGGCAAGAGACCATTGGACCTGGCTCTTTTGAACGAGACCTTTGTATAAATTCACCTACAGGGAGCGGGAAAACTATTGCTTATGCCTTACCAATTGTTCAGATGCTGTCTACACGTGCTGTTAAATGTCTTCGTGCACTAGTGGTCTTGCCTACTAGAGACCTTGCATTGCAGGTTATTCACCGTAGTTTTTTAGTTTTAGTTTTGGAAAATGCTCAGTGCATAATTACACAAATTCTCAGTTACCTGTAAATCTTTGGATCAACTGTCTTTCCAACTTTGCCTCCTCCTTGGCCTTTTCTTTTTTTGATGGGCAAGTCAATGATCATCCTAGGTTTTCGTCGCCTTTAAAACTATGACTTCATGCTGCCTATCACAAAAGAAAAAAACACTACAAGTTCATACTTTGGCTGAGTTCTTTTACTTGCAATCTAATAATTGGTGGAATTTTGTCGTAGTGACTCAGAGGCTTTTTGTAAGAATACCTCCAACTTCTAAGTGGGTTCTTCACACCAGTGACATATCTACATTTGCATTTGCACATGCAATTATTTATTTATTTATTAAGGCCTCTCTATTTGCACTTTCACATGCAAAGATAGATAACTAGCTTCTCAGAGGAAGATTATGTTTTAACCATTTGTTTCCGTTCGCAGGTCAAAGAGGTCTTCTCTGCTCTTGCACCTGCAGTAGGTCTGTCTGTCGGCTTGGCAGTAGGTCAGTCATCAATTTCAGATGAAATCTCCGAGCTCATCAAGAAACCCAATGTTGAGTATGGCATATGTTATGATCCTGAAGAATTCTCATACGAGTTACAAAGTGCAGTAGACATATTAGTGGCAACTCCTGGAAGACTGATGGACCACATCAATAACACTGATGGTTTTACGCTTGAGCATCTATCTTATCTTGTAAGCTGCATATATTTAGTTGCTTAGAATTTCTTAGTATGTATATTTACATTAGTCCCCCATTCTTCTCTTCTTTGTTGCGATTAATATCATGGCATAAAGCATTTCTGTCTGAGAATATCTTGATCATCTTAAGAAGTTAAGTGTCCCAGCTGACTTTTTGCTTTTCCTTAGGGTCTGCATTCTGTTATCTCATTAGTCTATAAGGTCACTAGGAAAACAAAGTGCAGGGAAGTACCGTTTGATAATTTGAAAGAAGTTTGTTAGAAGTAGGGTGATACCGAGGTAAATCAAACAGACAACTATAGTGCATGTTTTGGCAGTAAATGTGCTGGCTATTTGTCTTTATGTTAATAGATTTCTACTGTCTTTCCACCATCTTCATTTATATCAATGCATTGATCAATCATTAATAACTGTACATGAAAGAAATAGTAGAGCTTTTGAAGCAAAAGAGCTGAGTTTTTCATCTAAGGAATAGCTTCCTGTTTAATGTATTTTTGGTGCATCCGTGATGTTTCTATTTGCATAGAGCGTGGGTGTCTTTTGTAGAGAATCACATCCTTCTGTAATTACCCTACTTTTTGTATGTGGGAGCTTTCCCATTATCAATAAAATTATATTTACTTGATTAAATTATCAATATATGTTTGGTATTTTATTCACTTCAATGCCTCTTTCCTATTTGAAAAGGAAAACTTGGAATGCTACTATGCTAATAACTCAGACAATTAAGATTTGTTTCAATTTAATCATTAACCTTCAAAGTGGTAGTTGTAGGTCTTCTGAGTGTGAGGTACATATTATGATATTGCTCGTTTTTTCTTCATTATACTTTGTTGAAACCATTTGACTTACATTTTGGTATCATGTAGGTTGTTGATGAAACAGATAGGTTATTAAGGGAAGCTTATCAGTCCTGGCTTCCTACCGTCATTCAGTTGACCAGCTCTTCTGTTGATGGGAACTTCCCTTCTGCTGCTGATCTTCTTCCTTGCACTTATGGTTCATTGAAGACAATCAGAAGAATGTATGTTGTTATGCCTATCCCCTATTCCTTATGAATTGCTTATATGTGGAATCCTCTTTAGATGCACATCTTTCTCTCAGTCGTAATCTGACATTTTTCTAATCAAGAAGTAATTGTCTGATTATTCAAGTCTGGTTTGATTCTTTCTTTGACTGTCATATCTTTTTCAATGTTGAGTTGTTTACTCTTTTGATCATGAAAATGTATCTATCCTTGCACCTAAGTGTGTGACCTAGTGGTTGATGAAGTAGGTGGAGAACCATGAGGTCTCAAATTCAAATTCCAGCAGAGGTTAAAAAAATAAAATCTAGGTGATTTCTTCCAATCTACTCTAACTTTGATGGACAAAATTACTCGATACGTGTGGTGACGGGAGGTAGTAACCTAGCAGGTACCTGGTGGAAAGTCGATATGCACACAAGCTGGCCCAGACACCACTGTCATCCAAAAAGAAATGCACAACGTATTATTTTGTTAGTGGATCCAACTTTGTTGGAAGGCTTACCTTTAATCAATTGATGGTTCATTGAGTTTGCTCCTTAGGATCGAATAGGTTTAAGTGCACATAGGCATTTCACTGTCTTGTTTTCTTTTTGTCCATTTCACGTGTGGGATTTTCTTAAGCATTGCTTTAAAACTAATGCAGGGGCACTGAAAGAGGGTTCAAGGGAAAAGCCTATCCAAGGCTGGCAAAGATGGTTTTATCAGCCACACTAACACAAGACCCAAGTAAACTTGCTCAGCTTGATTTGCATCATCCTCTTCTTTTGACGACTGGAGAAAGACGTTACAAGCTTCCTGAAGAACTCAAATCATTTAAAGTGGTGGGTCTATGCTACTTGAATGAAATATGGTCTATTTATATATTATCTTCTTTTTCCTGATATGCCTGAAAATGTGTTTATAATTGCATATCATTTATCTTGATGATTGATCTTCTTATTCCAAAAATTATTGTTATTCCATAATATTTAGAAGTCATTGTTGCCTAACCTATCAAAAAGAAGGGAAAAAAGAATCAGTTTGTTGTCTCCAAGTCATAAGGAATTTCCTAATTTACCATAATGTTGTTGAGGAGAAACTTTGTTTTGTTTTCTGTAGATATGCTCATATAGCAGAAATTACTGCTTCAGTGTGGTCTAAATGTTTGTTAGCAGCACCTTACTTTATCTAAAAGCATTGGCTTAAACTGTGTTGTGCATCAACCTTGTGGATTGTCTTGAGACATGAGTGTCTCCCCTACATTGCTAAAGTCCAAACCACTGTTATTAGAAACCAGCACTTTGTTGCTGAAAGTGACTGTTGTTAGATTAGATCTTAGGCCTAACTCACACCCCAAAAGCTAGCTCAAAGAAAGGAGGATTGCCCAAGTCTTATAAGGAGTCCACCCATCTCATTAACCACCGATGTGGGACTTTTGTCATTCTTTAACACCCCACCTCACGCCCAGTGCTTAGCATCTGGTGCGTGGGCAATTTTGATTTTTGGGGGTCCCAACATCGGGTGAGACGGGTCCTGCTCTAATACCATGTTAAATTAGGTCTTGGGCCTAACTCACACCTCAAAAGCTAGCTCAAAGGAAGGAGGATTGCCCAAGTCTTATAAGGAGTCCACCTATCTCATTAACAACTAACAACTGTGCGATGCAAAGTGAGGATTTGTCTAAAAACCATCACTTCATTGCTTAAAGGGACAAAGTGATGCTGAAGGTTTATCTAAAAACCGAAGCAACAGAGCAATGCGAAGTGAAGGTTATTGCCTCATGAGGAAGCAGTGTTCTTCAGAAAGTAATTTATATAGTGTGAAGCAGTCGATTATTCAACAGACTTTGAAAGATGAAAAAGAAACCAACCATTATTTTTTCCTCCTCTTTTTTGCCCAGTTCAAAATAAAATGTGGGGTGGGGTGGGGGGAATAGGGATTTTTGCTATTTGAGTATTAGGACTCCTCTCCAAATTACATTTTAATGATGTTTTGTTTGACCTGTTGAATAAATACTTTCATTGTTGAATTCTGGATGCTGAAGTTTGCAATTCGGTGTTATAAGTACTAAATTTATACTGGGTAATTTTTGTGCTTTCAATGCATTGTGTGCTTCAATTTGAAAAGTTTGCACCTGACTTCTCACTTTTCCCTCCCATTGGATTTGTGCTATTTTGTGCCACACTGTTCCTCACAGGCAGATGATTGATATCAGTGATTTTACCTTCCTTTTGTGTAGCTATGTCAATCGAAGCTTAAGCCACTTTATCTAGTTTCCCTTCTTCAAAGCCTGCAAGGGGAGAAATCAATTGTTTTCACGTCATCCGTGGAGTCCACTCATAGATTATGCACCTTGCTCAAGTTTTTCGACAATTTGCAAATTGAGTTCAAGGAGTATTCTCGTCTTCAACGGCAATCTGTAAGAAGGTACTTAGATACATTCGCTTAACAACTTGAGTTTAGCCCTGAGCTGTTACATTATGTAATTTGCTAGAGAAGTTTGCAGTCAACTGTATTATGATGTTTTGCATGAGCCCACATTTTACTGAAGCTATCTGAATGTAGTCATGCGTGGAGCCATCTAGGTTGCCAAAAAGCTGTAATGTACTACTATACTGTTAAAAAATCTGTTTTGTTTAGTTGGTTTCCAAAGTGCTATATTAGAAGTACACAAATATCTGGGGTTCGGATAAAAAGGATAGTTTCCAGTGTTCCAAAATTATGTATCAGAGACAATTTTTCTGATCAACAAATGCATCAGAGAATCTTTTCTGGCCATATGGACTGTCTGCATCTCACTGGAAATCTGTCTACCTAATCCAAGTGACCGCTGAAGGCTGTTAACCTTTATAGGTTTTTGGCTTTATCAAAAAAAACAACCTTTATAGGTTTCTGGAGAAGAAAGGGCATGATTGGTATTGTTCTGTCTTGATTGCCATCTTATTTAGTTTACTCGAGCTTTAGACTTGCAAGTTGGATTAATGGAAAAGTTAAAAAAAGAAAACGAAGTACAGAAAAATTAAATATAATTGGTAGTCATATTTATACTTGACGTTGTTGAAAGGTGATGTTACGTTTATTTGGGAAACGTTTTGTGGTGAACCACCTGTGTGATTGGTCTTGCATATTTAAGTCTACCATCTTGCAACTTAATATCCTGAACTTTTGCCTTACAGCAAGACGTTGAGGGCTTTCCGGTCAGGGCAAGTGCAAGTGCTTATTTCCTCTGATGCTATGACTCGTGGAATGGATGTTGAAGGAGTGAGAAATGTCATAAACTATGATATGCCTGCATATATAAAAACATTTATTCATCGGGCAGGCAGAACTGCAAGAGCGGGCCTAAGTGGATGTTGCTTTACGTTAATGCATAAAGATGAGGTACGTCTTTTTAAATGACGGGGAGCAAATGTTTTAAAGATTCCAACTTTAAATGATCTATTTTTCGTATTGAGACATTAAGTTCTGGCCCCTAAGGAAGCTAAAATTTTGTAAATTACCTGATGTAGTAAATCTGACTATAGCATGCTATTAACATAATAAGTACCTTTTTCTTTGGGGTACTTCATTAAATTAAGTTTTGCTCTAACAGTAGAGTAATGACTACTTGAGCTGATTGGTTAAAAAAATTGACTATTTGAACTGGTTCACTGCCATCACATGGTCACAAAATTGGGAAAAAAAAAGGTCAGATCTTGTCGCTCATAAGCTGCCATAAAAGCTAAACACTTCTCCACTCTGAATGTGCTTGTATTCATATTGTTATCCTAACTGTCACAGCACTTGGAGTGTTCAATGTTTTAGGATACTTTGTATGATGTACGAACATACTTGTAAAAATAAATGATCTAATCTCAGACTATTAACTGTGCATACCACCAAGTTTCTCAACCCTTTCGCGATATACTTTTTCAATGGAGGAGTTCGGCTTGGAACTTTGAAGCACTAAAATTTCTTTTGCTTTTGCAGCAAATTCTTGTTTAAATATGAAATTTTCCAATGCTAATTTTTGCAGATCAAGCGCTTCAAGAAGATGTTACAAAAAGCTGACTGTAACTCTTGCCCTACCTATTCTGCTTCTTCTGAAGTGATAGAGTCACTTCGCTCTGTGTACACCTCAGGTAATTTCTTTTTCCATTTTCAACATGTTTGTAAGTACTTGGCAATCAAAGTGGAGCACTATATGTTGAAATTATGAAGAAACCAGCAGTAGTTCATTTACCTGATCTGATACTTAAACCTTGAGATCTCCTATTAGCCTTTTTTGGAGAAAAATAAAGTATTAGAACTATTTCTGCAATTATCTTCAGTTATTCTGTGTTTTTAATTGAACCTCTTTTCATTGTTTTCTAGCTTTGGAGAAACTTAGAGAGAATGTTGAATCAGAAAAGTTTAAGAAAAGCAAGATTAGGTTGAAATCTTCAAATGTGAGAAGGGAGAAGTGAAAAGCTGTCCATGGTGATAACTTCCATTTTCCTAGACAGTGTAGTACTCTGTTGCCAACCAGTTTATGATATCATGGTGAGTCGCTACATTTTGATATTATTGTGTTATTTTCATTTTTATATCATTATGTTTCTTGCTGCTTGCCTATAGATTGTTAGCATTGTTCTTGGTTCTCTAGTTGATGCCACACAAAAGAGTACAGAAGAAAGTGTTCCAATGTTGTTTCTCCTGACAGTGGTAATTCATGTTTTTTGTATTATTTTTTTTGCTCTTTTTCTATTGCAGCTATCTTCATCCATTCGATGCAAATATTAAGATAAGGTGGATATCATTCTGCCTTTTGTTTAAAAAGTTGCACTGTTTTTATAAAATTAATTAGAATTTGAAGGTCATATGATTCTAGCAGAACTGCTGGTATTCTATAAGCTGAAAAAGAGGATAAGGGAACTAGACTAGAAAAACTAGGAGTAAGGAGAAGTGGGGAGGGTCGGGTATATTGAAGTTGGAGGGTAAACTGACTCTCCAATTTAGCATATTGTCTCTTCTGGTATGGGAGAAAAGCACTAGTTAAGAACAAAGGGAAGAAATGATGTGTGACAACCAGTAGGCAAGTAAGTTCTTTTGATGTAAAATTGTTCAGTTGTTCATATAAAGTATGCATGTTTCTGCATTCGCGTGTTCTGGTCTAAATGCATGTTGTGGAATAGAATACTTTGTTTATTTATAAAAGAAACAAAAATACTGGCACCCAGGGTGTGACCTAGTGGTAAATGAAGTGGGAGGAGAACCTTGAAGTCTCAAGGTCAACTCCCAACCAAGACAAAAGATACTAGGTGATTTCTTCCCATCTACCTAAGTCTTGGTGGGCAGGGGTGCCCCGTAGGTTGGTGGGAGCAGCAGGCACCCAGTAGTATAATCAAGGTGCGCAGAAGTTGGCTTGGACAATGCCGTAAAAAAGAAACAAAGATACTGTGCATAGCAATTTCTTAACTGGACTGAAGTAACTTTGGGAAAATTTAAAGAAGTAGCGATAAGTATTCTGATAGTTCGATAGAGATATTTTCCTTTCTCACACGGTTACATTTAGTCAATATATCTGGCAATAAGAGTTTACAGTCCAATCTTCGCTGACTTTGTAACTAAGAGAAAATTTGCTGAAGGAAAACAGCAAGAAATCAGTAGATTGGTCAGGAAATTGAAAATTGAAAGTACTCTCAGCCAGCCTAAGTAGATACTTTAGCTGCCAAATGCAGAAAGAGACCTCTGAACTTCTTTGAGAAAAGATTTAGAATTTTTTGCATTTGAAGGTAAAGCAGAATAAGTTGAAGATGATGACAGCAAAGAACTCTTCAGAGAGAGTGCCTCACTTGTGCTAGCTTCTCTCTCCTCCTCTTTGATGGTTTCTAGCATTTTTGAGGCTCCGTGTCTCATGACATTTACAAACTGTGGTGGTGCTACCTCTGTAACAAACCTAGCAATACGAGCATTTGTCATCTTCTTAGTAGGTTTTGGTAGAGACTGCAGTTGAGAAAAAAGGTCCAAGATGCTTGCTAGAACTGTAGAAGTAGTGTTTAAGAAGAAGGTGGGTTGTATGAGTTAAAAACCACAGAAGGGGTGAAATTTATAGGGTTGTGGATTATATTATCCTTCTATGGTCTGGCTTAAATTGAACCAGTTGTCTTAATCGAGGTTTTAATTATTTTTTGCTGTTAGTGCCGTCACTTACTTTTAGTCTTAATTGAACAGATAAAGATGTTATCATCATAGTCATCCTCTTGATGAGATATCCTCATATGGAGCCACGGAATGCAATGTGTCTATGCATGAGTAGAAAAAGCAACACATCTTAAATATGCGGTATTTGTTGCCTTTGAAAGCTTCCAAATTTGAACTTTTCCTTATTGAGCTGTAACCTGCTGATTGAATGCCACATGCCCTTTCTGCATTTAGTGATTCACAGCATATGAAAAATTATTGTGATTTCGTTCTGTGCATGTAACAAAGGGTTGCACTAGAGACGAGACACATTTTTATCTTTCTAGAATTGCAGTTGGTAACTTGATTAGCATCACTTAATCCCTCTATGTGGGTTATATACTAAAGACTTGTTCATTATGAAATCTATTTTTCAGATACTTACTTATCACCATTCTAACATATATTTCAGATACTTACTTATCACCATTCTAACATATATTTCAGAAACTTACTTATCACCATTCTAACATAATGTCAACATCCATGCCTTAACTTGTTTGTGTGAAGAACCTTTAGTTAATGGCATTTGAACCTTAATAATATAGTTCAACTCGTGCTGCTCTGCCTTTTACTATGGTGAGGCAGGTCCCACTTTCACCATTATTTTGCCCCATCTCTCTCCTGTAATTGTCTTGTTTAATTTCTTGCTTACTTCTCCAGTCTTTCTGTTGGTTTGTAGAATTATAGCCTCTGTATATCCTTCTATTCTTCTTTTACTTCTTCATTTCTTCTCCTTTACAAACCTACTTTCAAAGTTCAATTTAACTATTTGTTGGTGTTCTGGTTTTAGAGATGTACATTACATTTTTCTAGAGTCTTCTCAATGTCATGGCTTTTGAAGAGGGGTGTGGAATCACTTAAGAGTTTAAATCAGCCTTTTCATGATATTCTTAAACAAAATCCCGGGACTTCTGGCTTTTCATTCTTTTCGACAAATGATAAATAATTATACGAATATCAATTTTGTTGGGAAAAATTCTCAAATTTGTGGTAAACAAGGAAAATAATCTGATTATCGCTGTTGCTGCTAGTTTTGGAGGAGAAGGCTTTGTGATTCTGTTAACTGTGTTCTTTCAGTAGATAGGTGATGATGAAAGGTTAGAACAAGAGGAAAATGTGCTAAGAATGGTAGTTGGATCCACTAGTAGTGTCTAGTACAGATTAATAATGAGGATATGTAAAATTTAAACGTTGTTTGATCTGACCTTAAATGAAACAAGACGTGGACAGGTAGTAAATATAACAGAAAAGAAAATGTAACCCAGTATTACGTAAAGCTTTATAACGTCGCTAAAAGAAGAGACACTCACTGTCTTTGGAAAATTTTAGCCAAATGGTAAAACGTCACCGCAGAGTATGTTTATGCACGGTAATTTTCACAAATGTCATCAGCAGTCAGCTTTTTGTCAGTCAGAACTTGGAAATAAAATAATCCTTAAAACGTTTCTCCCACATGTCTTTAGTCTATTTATGAAATTATTTAAAATTTTGTGTTGTTTTTGTTAATTTTCTTTAATGATGTATTATTTAAATGAAAAATTTGAATGAGGAGGAGGAGGGTGAATTCCTGATAGCAAGGAAACAGAAATAGGAACAGGGGGAACGAGGGAACTTTTTATGGAAGGGAGAGTAAGCTTCAAAGGGGTAGACTTTGAGGGTAGAAGGGTGAGGGTGGGGTGGGAAGGAGAGATAAGGAAGCGGGGAAAAACTAAAAGTCCAAGTATACTAGACTCACAGAGGAAAACTGCGGGGAGGGGGAAAGTAAGGGAGGAGGTTTCTTGTGGTTTGGAGGAAAGCACCTTTTTAGAACTAGAAGGAATAAGTGCTGGGTGCATGATCAGTTAGTATTATATTCTAGGGAAGGGGGGAACAAGAAGGTTTTTCAATGTAAAGTTGCTCAATTGTTTGTTTTAGTATGAATGTTACTACATTCTCTCATTCTGCTGTAATTAGATGCATTTGAGTTCACTGTGCGATAGAATGTTATCGTATGCTTGTAAAGCCCTTCCTTAGTGCTTGTAAAGCCCTTCCTTAGTGCCTGTTTTGTAGAATAACATATATTAATTATGTATAAAAGAAACAGGATACAAGAAGTGCATAACAATTTCATTGCCATACTGAAGTAAATTTGGTAATATTTACAGAAAGTAGCAACAGAAATTTACTGATAATTCAAAGGAGGAATTTTCATCTTCCCATAGAGGTTACATACAGTCAATACTTATCTAGTCTCAGCAGGCTTGGACTCTGTCCAAAGCTTTGCGGACTTTCTTACTAAGAAAGAGAGAATTTGCTGAAGGAAAAAAACAAGGACTCAGTAGACTGGTCAAAAATTAAAAGCATTCTTAGCAAGCTAGAGTATATACTTTAGCTGCCAAATACAGAAAACGACCTCTGAACTTCTTTGAGAAAATATTTAGAACCTTTTACATTTGATGATGAAGCAGAATAAGCTGAAGACGATGAAGGTGAATAACTCTTCAGAGAAAGTGACTCGCTTGTGCTAGCTTCTTTCTCCTCCTCTTTGATGGTTTCTAGCATCTTTGAGGCTCGGTTTCTCATGACATTTACAAATTGTGGTGGTGCTACCTCTGTAACAAACCTAGCAATACGAGCATTTGCCATCTTCTTTTGTAAGTTTTCAAAGAGACTGCAGTTGAGTGGAAAGGTGCAAGATGCTTAGATAGAACTATAGAAGTAGTGTTTTGAGGATAAGGTGGATTGTATGCCTTACAAACACAAATGAGATGATATTTATAGGGGTTTTAATTAGATAATCCTTTATGATCTGGCTTAAAATGAACTCAATCGAAGTTTTAATCATTTTTAGCTGTTAGTGCAGCCACTTACTTTTAGTATTAATTGCACAGACAAAGATGTCTCTAATCGTGGTCATCTTATTGAAGAGATATCCTCCTAGATGGGACCGCAGAATGCAATGTGTCTATCCACGAGTAGAAAAAAACAGCATAACTTAAATATGCGGTTTTTGTTTCCATCAATATCTTCCAATATTCAACTTTACCTCATTGAGCTGCAACCTGCTGATTGAATGCCACATGCCCCTTTCTGCATTTCATATCTAAACTGGTTCTTTCGTGCAGATCTGGATGAATCGTGCAGTCGGTGGAGGGTCAAAAAGACTAATCCTGTTTGCGGGATTGTGAAAGCTGGACTTTCCATGAAGGTTCATTGCCAAAATATGAGTCTCTTACGCTACAATGTGAGAAAAATTCAAGTATATAAGCACCCAGGGGACGTCGATGGAGACGCATTTTATTTGGTTGGTATGAAAATATTGAATGGCTGGGATTCTTCATTGCTGGTGAAAATTGAAAAAACTGGAGATTCTCATCTTGAACTATGATTATAATGGCAATCGTTAACTTTAAAAATGACATACACCAGTTTTTGTTATTTGCTGGAGATCTTTCATACTTCAATTTTATTTATTTACTAGATATAGGACCCCGTGCCAGCACGGGGCCCAATATATATATATTTTTTATTTTCATTTATGTCATATTATGGAATTTGAGAAGTTATTGAAATTACTATATGATTTTTAAAATATTTTAAATTTTTAGCTATTGTGATTTGTAGTACTTTTTTTTAACATAATTTTGAAAATAATATTTATTACTCTGTTTGTTCTAATTTATGTGGAACACGCAGAATTTCAAATATTAACCCTTTTTTATGTCTCTTTAATATATTAAGTTGTTAATTATTGTATTTTTTAGTACATTTTGAACCTAATTTTTTAATAATATATGTTATTTGCCATGTCCCAATATATGTGGCATTAATTGATAGATTTGTTGGAGTCGAGAGATTTATTTTGTTAACTATTGTAATTTATAGTTTTTTTTCCGTCAATTTCAAACAGTATAAGTTGTTAATTGATAGAATACTTTTAATGTAATTTTTTTTTAAAAAAAATATGTGTGACTCTCCATGTCCCAATTTATGTGGCACATGTAAAGTTTTGACAATTAACCAAAATTTTAATACATTTAAAAAAATATTTTTAAGTCGCTAAATTTTAAGTAATTTAAATTGTTGTATTATTTATTACAATTTATAATGCTTTTAAAGTAGTTGAAATATTGTACTATTTATTATGATTTATAACACTTTTTTTTTAATTTATGTCATATTATGGAATTTGAGAATTTATTGAAATTTTTATATGATTTTAAAAATATTTTAAATTGTTAGTATTGTAATTTGTAGTACTTTTTTTTAGCATAATTTTGAAAATAATATTTATTACTCTCTTTGTTCTAATTTATGTGGCAGATGCAGAATTTCAAATATTAACCCTTTTTTATATGTCTCTTTAATATATTAAGTTGGAAATTATTGTATTTTTTAGTACATTTTGAACCTAATTTTTTTAATAATATATGTTATTTGTCATGTCCCAATTTATGTGGCATTAATTGATAAATTTGTTGGAGTCGAGAGATTTATTTTGTTAATTATTGTAATTTATAGTTTCTTTTTCGTCAATTTCAAACAATATATGTTGTTAATTGATAGATTTTTTGGAGTGGACTATTTTTTTATTAATTATTGTAATTTATTGTTTCTTTTTTGTCAATTTCAAACAATATATGTTTATTATATAATCCATTTTATCTGGTACCAATAAAATTTAGAGAGTCAATTAAATTTTTTATATAAGTTTTAAATAATTAAGCTGTTAATTATTGTAATGTATAGTATTACTTATATTATTTTTAAATATATTTAAATATTATATCATAGGTTTTTTATCCTAATTTATATGGTATTGATAGAATTTAAAGTGTCAAATAATTGTTAATTATTGTAATAGATAATATGGAGTATTTAAGTCATTTATAGTATAGTAATTAATATATAATATGTAGTATTTAAGTGGAAGGTGATGGGGCCCACTTATATAGTTTGATAAATATATTGGATATTAGTAATGATTTATAGTATAGTAATTAATAATATATAATATGTAGTATTTAAGTGGAAGGTGGTGGAGCCCACTTATATATTTTATAAATATATTGGACATTAGTAGTGATCTTATTGGCTCATTGATAGTCATTCCTAGAGTCTTCTATAATATAGTAATGTTGTATGTTGTATATGGGTGATTCCTCGGGAAACAGCCTCTACCTCCATGAGGTAGGAGTAAGGTCTACGTACACTTTACCTTCTCGAGATCCCACTTGTGGGATTTCACTTGCTATTTTGTAATGTTTAGATATAGAGGCCACTTGTCGAATTTCACTGGATATATTGTAATGTTCAAATATTTGCATTTAATCTATTATTATTAGAGTTGATGGTCAAGAACACACTTGAACTATCATTTTTTCACATCCCAACTATTATGTTCTCTTTCCCTTACTTAAACTATCATAATCTATGTATTAAATTGTTACATGATACTTGTAATGGTGGGAGGTAGCATGTGTCATGTGACATTAGTCGATGTGAGTGTAAATTGGCTCAGACATCACGATGCATGAATTGTTATGCGATGAATAAGGTTATTTTTCTCACTAGTAATGTTATATTTGGTGTCTAGTTAAGATGTAAATTATTTAGATTTAAAATTGACATGGTGTTTGATTTTGCAATTTAAAAAACTCTATAATTAAATATTTATAAGTTATAAGGAAATTTATTTTGAGCAAATTATAGAAATCACATATTTTATCCCTTAAAAGTTTATAATTACAGAAATCCTTCATTTTCGCGCATCAAATTAGTGTATCAACGCTTATATTATTGTATCTTGTGCATCAGATTAATGTATCAGCGTTTATATTATTGTATCTCGCACATTAGATTAATGTATCAACGCTTATATTATTGTATCTCGCGCATCAAATTAATGTATCAGAGCTATATAAGTGCTGATACATGCGTGAGATACAATAATATAAACGTTGATACATTAATCTGATGCGCAAGATACAATAATATAAGTGCTAATACATTTATCTGATGCGCAAAAATGAGGAATTTTGGAAATTTATAAAATTTGTAGGGGATAATGGTAATAAGTAAACTAAAAGGTGGATTTCTGTCATTTTTTCTTCTATTTTTCCAATTCTCTCAATTAACAGGTTAAACCCCTGCCGGGAAAAAAGTCTCAACTCTCAAAACCCTACTTCACCGGAGCGACGTTGAATGTAACTGCCGGTTAACTCGTCGTCGGTGACTCCATAGCTTGTTGGAAACCTACTACGATTGGTAATATGCTCTTACTTTCCCCTTTTTTCGCAGCAATTTTCCATGCAATTGTCTCGGTTTTCGAGGTTTGTATAACGAAATTACTCATACATTTAGTTCATTATTTTGTATGTAGGTTGGGAGTTTGAAGATAAATTGAAATTTTGAAGGAGACATTGCTAATTGCAGATCACGAACATGGCAAATATTATTCTGCATTATTTTTCAGTAGCTTGTAAGATTTTAATACATGGGATTCTGAGCATTTTTTTATTTGTGGTAGGCTGAATGTAATTTTCTCTGTATTGTACCAATTTAAACTTGTCTCAGATTCTATAATGCCTTTACTAGATCAAATTTAAACTTTTCCCCTCCACCGAACTTAGTCCCCTTGTTAAATTTCTCTGTATTGTGCCAATTTTAAGTTGTTCCCAGATTCTAATATGCTTAACTAACCAAAGTTCATCTTTTTATCCACCAAACTAATAGTCTATTTGGCCAAGCTTTTGGAAGGCCAACAATGGTTATATTTAAGAGGAGGGAGGTGTTTGACCAAATTTTTAGGAGAAAATAAGTGCTTCCAGAGAGTAGTAGAAGTTGTTTTTCAGTAGCTAAAAGAAGTAGTAGCTTTTTTCTCCCCAAAAAATACTCCTTTGAAAAGCACTCGTGAGGAAAATATACTTACAAGCACTTCTAAAAAGTTTGGTCAACTACTAATTGCTGCTCAAACTTATTGGCCAAACTGCTTCTCACCAAAAGTACTTTCTTGAAAAGCACATTTGGAAAAACCACTTTTCATAATAAGTTGATTTTAGAAGTTTGGCCAAACAAACTATTAAGTTTCTTTTGACATTTTCATAAACTACTTGTATATAAGAAATGCTAGTATCTTAAACTTCATAGCGAATCATAATTGGGTACTTTGTGAAATTCACTTTTTCCTCTATACCTTTTCAAACACATACAGTTGCACACCTATAGAATATACCTTTAACAGATAGCAAGTATTAAGTCGTGGTTACTGGGATTTTCAGATTGAAGTTTGTGGGTTAAAAGATGTGTTCTTCAAATATTTAGAATTTGAGCACCCAAGGGTGCGATGTAGTGGTCATTGACGTTGGTTGAGCAACATGAGGTCTCAAGTTCAATTCCCAGAAGAGACAAAAAGTAAAAAACAGTAGGTGATTTTTTCCCATCTGTTCTAGCCTGGGTGGATAGAGTTACCCGATATCTGGTGATGGTGGGAGGTCGTAGGTATCCTGTGGAATTAGTCGAGGTGCGCGTAATCTGGCCCGAACACCACGGGCTTAAAAAGGAAATTAAAATTAAAAAATATTTAGAAATCGAGATGCATGGTTTGAGAGTTTGATGGTATAGTTCTATGTAATACAGTCAGATATCAGGAAATGGTTCATGAAGCAGCATGACAAAGGCACAGGTAATGGGAGTATGTCCAAGAATAGTGCAGCAGAAATGTTGATGGCTTTCGAATCCTCCAAATCAACAACACTTCTTTGAACACTATACCAAACCAACATCTAAAATGTTCTTTTCCTCATTAACATTCATTTTACCACCTATATTGTTGATGAGAAACAGACCAAATTAGTGACCCATGCTTCAAAAACTTGTCGAAAATGACTAGTTTCAATTCTTCAAATCTATAATTTCACCTCCTGTAATGTCGAAAATTGTTATTTTGTGTTTATGATCTTGTTATTGTTGTTTTCCGAATGAAAGAATCCCTACTTAAAAGGCTAAGAATTTTTTCGAATACAAACGACATTAAAATGGAGTTAATGAATAAATTCATGACTTTTAGAATATCAAAATATGTATACAAAAGAAGAAGAAGAAGAATGAATCTGATAGTGTTTCTCGAATATTTAATGTATTAAATAAAATCACTGTTTCAAAATATAACATGGAAGATTTTTCACATACTAAAAACGTAGAGCAGCTTGTACCAACTCCGGCCAACTCCGCCGTCCTAAACAACAACCAGGTAAGTCTCTTCTCGGAACTTTCTTTCTCTCAGACCCACTTAGTAGGTTGAACCATTATTGGCTGCACTCCATGAATAA